GAAAAAGGAACCGAACGAGTGAAAAAGGCTAAAAGGAAGAAGGTCCCTGGCGAACCCATCTCCTTGGCCATGTCGTCGCTCTCGTGATCAGCTCGAAGGTGTGCTCCTCATTCCTCTCGTTGTATGTGAATTATACAGTGTGCCTCCGGCGCCCTATTCCTCCCCCTTCCCCCCTACTCCTCCCTCCCGTCGTCGCCACGCGCGTATATCCGCTCGGTTGTGTTGTGTCTGTGTGGCACGTATGCGTGGGGTTCGCACGACCGGTAGATAAATGTCTCTCAGCCATGCCCGCTGTGCGGAAGTACCGAAGGGATACCAGCGAGGTGAGCTGCTGCCTCAAGTATGTGATCTTTGGATTTAACGTCATGTTCTGGGTAAGTACCGCGCGGAGAGCCGCAGAAGCGACGTCGCACGATGGGTCGAGTCCCGCGAGATTTCGGACGTTACCTCCGAAGTTGTTCGGACGTTGCCCTGATGACGCGCGTTGCTCCGAAAATAATTTTAAATGTCACTCCAAGGAGCTCTCCGACATTTTTACTGTCGAACAAAATATACTTTTATTAACTGCGAACGTTTAAATAAATTTTCGAGGAAGCGACGCTGCTCTTGAATATTAGCCGTCGAGGAAGTTTCTCTCACTTGCGAAGAGATCTTGAACTTCTCAAAATGCTTCGGATGTTGTTATCAAGAAAATTCCGGACACGAATCTTGTTAATGACAAATATTACTCCGACAAAATTTTAAATGTTATGTTCAAGAAGCTCTCCAAAGAAATTATTTACTCCTATAGATCTTAAACTTCACATTTCGCATATTATTACTTAAAAGATTTCAAACGTTTGATTTGTGTGAATAGATCTTGAACATTATTTTTCGAAAAATTGTTGAATTGTTAAAATGGATTCCGAAAACATCTCAAATGTTATCTTTCAAAAGATGACGTTATTGTTACGAAGAAATCTTGCACATAAGCCTTAAATCAAACAATTTTTTATTGTTTGTAAAAAATTTTTGAATAAAATTTTACTATAAAATTGTAAAATTAAAGGAAAATCTTGATAATTATGAACAGTCTACAATGTCTAGTAAACAATGCAGTTCTTATGAGGTCCATTTAATTTTCATGCAAGTTTTACAGAGTCATTTTTAGCTTTCTGCGTCTGAAAAATATTACGTAGACGAATTAAAAACAAAGCAAGGTAAAGTGAAATTTGTGTATTATCTGGTCACTTTTGTTTGCATTGCAATGAAAGTTTATTATCGCGATACAAACTCGTTTTTACGTCCGTATAAAGCATGTCATATTATTTAGTTTAATAATTCTCGCGTGTAATAAAAATAAAAATGTTTATGGATTACGTAAAAATCGTTGTATACGTGTATACGTACAACAATAAAATGCTATAAAAGCAAGAAAACCAACAATAAACACGTACGTATATTTATGAAAACTCAGTATCTAAAATTGTACTACTATCTCGACCCATCGTGCATCGTTGCACTTTGCGTTGCACTTTTTTCAATAATGTTAAAAAAATAAAAAGTAAAACAAAAAGTTGATGGCGCGCGATTTATCGATGTAATCTATCGATTACAATTGTACGAAATGCTCGTCCCGTTTTTCCATAGCTTTGTAAGGCTTTCCTTCCTTCTTGAGGATGAAATCTAGCAGACTGAAATTACACCTGTCACGTCGCGAGCTAGATTCCACATATAATACTATCGAACAGTTAGACAGATATCAATTACGGTGGATGATGGATCTTACACTCAAAGCTCTTATTTGTCGCCAAGAGTCTTTTTGGTCAGGATATGTGAGAAACGCGACACGAAGTTTCATTATACTGTAAATATTGGGCAGCTTTTACTTATATCGAACGAGAGATCGAACAATTTCTCAAGGGTGCAAAACCATATAGCATATAATATAATGTTTAATTCATAGAGGCTGAAAGAAGTGTTGGAGTAACTCAAATAAATCTGTAGAACAGATATAAATATTCTAATTCATACAGTCCTTACAGAATTAGTACTTCTGATCTTGAAATACGATTGAATTAACATGGCATATATCTCGGTTTAACCGCGGCCCTATTACGGCGTGTCGTAATCGTAAATCGAGTCATTTAATGGTAAATATGATAGTTCGACGCTCAGAACGAAATAGCATTCTATATTACGATTTTCTAATAAGAGAAATATAACGCAATGGTACATTTAACATTGCAGCATAAAATAGTGCTGCAGCCGATGCGACGCATAAATACGACCGTCCACTACTGTTTTAATTTATTATGAAACTTTTAAATGAGAGAAGAACGGTGCTTCAAAAGATGAATTTTTTAAATAAACTATTTGTTGGGAAGGAAATTTGTGTGACGAGCAGTTTTCCTTCTTCGTATACTATACTTTTACAGAGAGCACCGCGAATGACCTGCAATGCAGCTCGTGCGCGCCGCGAAGTGTCCCAATTGCGAGTGGACCGCGGTGGCGCTTTGCAGCGCGCACGTGTGTGCGTTAACTATCATATTGCCCAGCGTGAGATGTTCATTGGTAACAGAGTGCATGAGAAGAGGATTCGCACACTTCCTGCGAATTACTTAAGAGTTTTGCGTCTCCTTGCGTGAAAATTTAATCAAAAATAAACTTTTTCCCCTTTTTTTCTATTTCTGTATGTTTTATAATCTTAGTCAATATAGTATTTGCATTTTTCATTATTGACATTTCGATTAGTTTCAATATTCATTAATATTTATTAATCAAAGGGAATAACAAGTCGCATCTTTAATAGCTTTCATATATAAAACTCGCGCGTTTCGACGCGATGTGCGACATTTGCGCTTAAAGGGGATAGCGCGAACCGGTCTCTCGTCAAATGAAGGATTTCGTTTGCGGGATACCACGCGTTGTGCCCGCGTTCCTTTGATTTACGGTCTGTTTGATCGAGCGGCTGTCCGCTCTCGCGGTGGATAACGCGCGCGCGATAGACGGCGATAGATCAATTCCGCGCGCGGACTTGCGCGACAGTACGAGTTGTCGCGTTACGTTGATACAACGTTGTTTACAAATCGTAATTTTATTTTGCACACGCGTGCATTTAGCGCGAAGAGCTCGCGACGCGCGCGTTAATTTACGCGCAGTAAAATAGACGAACTTTAATCTCAGCGAATTTCTAGCTGAATCGTGATTTTCTCGGTGATGTAAGCTTTACGCAACGGCGACGAGACATTAAACGCAAGGCTGAAATCCATTTAAAGTCATTAATGAAAAGATACACACAATAATCTCGGAGTTATATAAAGATCCAAGGATCTCGCATAAATCTGTAAACTGTAAACTGTTATTGTTGTAACTACGAATGTAATTATTCAACCCATTTTCGCTAATTAATGGCAAGTATTGAAATTTCGCACTTTACGAAATTGGATGGATGTGAAAAATGCAGGAACGAGGGCTACACCGCATTCCAAACCGACTGTTCTTGGTTTGAAAATAACAGCACGATAATGAACTCTGTGCGAGCTTATTTCACCGGGACGGATTAAAGGTATTATTGATTTTCTTGTAGCCAGGCGGCGAGCGGGATTTTCGCGAAATGTAGCACTGGCCTAGTGATATGTGGAGAGTTCTTCCTGCCAGGCACTCCGCGTAATTAAATAGCGGTCGTGTTAGGAAAGCTCATCTTGTGCGATCTATTTCACGATTTGCGATAGAACATATGAAAAATAATATTACTTGCATCGATACTACGTTCAACGTTTTGAGCGCGGTATGTTGAAATAAATTAATTGGGAGTTGCCGTTCGTAAAATAATGCGTGTATGAAAATAATAGTCCACATTGAACAAAGAAATTAATAATATAAAAAGGATTAAATAATAATTAATTTAAAATAATAACCGCAAGTCTAAATGACAAGCTGTTTGAAAGCCATCTCCGCGCAATATCTATTCTTCATTAATATAAAAAATAGTAAGCGTGTTTATTCGCTGGAAAAGTGTTGCATTAACATCTGGACTTGTATAATGTACCGTGTGGCCGCGGGAAAATCCATGAAACCGGTCGAATCACGATACTCGACCGACTTTGGGCTAATAAAAGTCGCAACTTCGGCAATACAGTCCTGATATTCTTTCGACGAACTTGCAAACATTCGCGAAAGCGCCAAGTTTCGTAGTTTGGAAGTCGTGGCGAGTTAACCCCGCGACTACCAGTGTTCTTCTGTCTATATACAGTGCGGAATGAAAAGGAGAGAAGAAACTAAAGAGAGATAGAAAGAAAGAGATTTTGGAGGGAAACGCGCGTTTCGCGGAACGCTAAGCCCCGTGAAATTTTTATGCGTCGCTGAAAAATAATAACGACCGTTGCGCAAATAATTTCATCGCAAAGTTTTTCCGCGGGCGGAAAGGTTTTCCTTCGAGCGGAAATCCGAGCGCGCTGTGCTGTTCGTAAAGTTGGCGCGCGGAAAATGAAATATCGCGCGAAACATTTATGGCTTGTCGGACGAGCATCTCCGAGATCATTCGCAACCCTGTAACAAACTCGTAATGTAATTTTCCGCGCGCTCACCTTTTTCGCTTTGAGAAAAACATTTTTTTTTTTTTTTTTTCCTGTGATTTAAAGCACCGCCGGTTATCGTCGACGGTCGTCTGGCACTATTTGCATCTCCAATTTAAAGTCGTGATTCCATATTGATGCAGTCAGTGCGCTTATCGCGTATACACAGATGGTCCAGTTCGCTTGAATTAATAATAGCTATTTCAAATTTCAATGGCTAGTTTCGATATTTGTTTCTGAACAAATGAAGGGAGAAACAAGTTATTTCATTGTTCGCATTTATCACGTATCGCTCGAAAAATGAAAATAATCTGTGTAAGAGGTGGGATACAATATTATTTGAACGTTTATTACGTTTATTTCGTTTATCACATTGTTTCAAAACTGAAAATTATTAATCTAAATTACAGATTAAATATAGCTCACACAATTATTTCTACTTTTTTTTTACTAATGTTAAGATGTATAATTCCGAAAAGGAATGTTTAATTAAACTTTAATTTAAAAAAGGTTGATTCTATAATAAAATCTTATTTTATTTTCAATGTTTACTCAATTTCGATTAAGCAGCTGTTTTTTTTTATTTTTTAAAATAAAATATCAAATCCAATTATTAAAATATTCCAGAAAGAATTTGTGAATAAAAGTGGCAATTATATTAATTAAAGCTGGACTCTATAGATTGACTAAAAAATCCGTAGACGATGTTCATCAGTCGGGGACATTCTGCATTAAAATGTCACGACTTCGGGAGCTACGGGTTAATCGCTCGTACTCGACTCGAAAGGAATCCGGCCGCAGGATCGGCATATTTCACG